CATACGCGAGCACCCCTGGGATGCCGTGACAAATTGGACCACTGGCTTTGGAAGGAGTCGGCCGACTTGCGCGCACGTCGGTCTTGGGGAAGTTGCCGCCGACCGGACAGGTGAAGAAGCAAACATGGCATCGGCATCCAAACGCAGGATCTCAAGCACAAATGACCATGGATCAAAACCCCGTACCAGTGAATATCCCAATCCCCACTAAAACAGATTGAACTGGGTGGGGCGCCTATCCCAAAATGGTACCATTGGTTTAGAACCACAGCCAAATTGAAACTCGTGGCGCAGCCGGCCCTTCAGGAACTGTTGGCACAGGACATCTTCGGCGCATCGGCTGCCACTTCGAATGCTCGGCGCAAGGTGGAGGAGGCCAGCTGACGCACCAGCGCGGCGTCCTCGTGCCACCCGCTCTCCGACCTCGACCGCCACCACGAGGCACTTTGGGACAAAACAAACAAACATACGAGTAACATGGCTGCGGCTCACAAAACGAGGTGATCCGCATGTCTGGATGGGGCGTGGGCGCATTTGACCGGGTGCGAATGCGTGAGTGCCATTTGCTGGGAAGTTTGACGCAAGCGCGATGCGTGCGGCAACAGCCATGTCATCCACCAAGCCGAAGGGAAGGTCTCGAGCGGTGATGCATTGATGGCCAGCTCGCAGCGCTGGCCGGCGCAGAGCTTCAACGCGCTTCCTTGATGGCGTTTATGTCATGGACCTTGAGCGACCCACGCTTTTGATTTGCTGCCCTTACACGTAGGATGCTGCCAAGACATCACAGGAATAGAAGCGTACTGGAACGGAGTAGCGGACCCGTCGCAAGCTGCGCGCTGGTCGCTTTTAAAAGGATCGAGAGGCGCGACGACAGCAACAGTTTCAGGTGGACAAAGTCAGGGGAGACGAAGGCGCCGCAGCAAAAGGGCATGTGGGTCGTCAAATTTCAAAGCGAAGCTACATTTCGGGGCAAGTGGGCACGCTTGTTCAAGGGCGACTGGTCAAAAGTTCGGGGTGGTCCAAAGGAGGCTAATACAACAGGCAGCGTTTGTTCTTCTAGCAAGTGGCGCGAGTGGTTGCCCTTCCTCAAGTTGCTGCCTGTTTGCTTTGCGCGCGCAGTATTGTGGTGGGAGTCTGAGCGCGAACTCTCCCTCTCCACTTTTGCGGACTGTTGCGCTGGCTGCAAAACTAGTGAATCACACTCTACGATGGAGGACGAAGGCAACAAAACATACAAATGACAAACTCTGACGCTGGCATGGCTATCATGACTGCAGCAAATTCTTCCGGAGCAGCACTGCAAAGGCACAAACAGGAAGCGATTCGTGGCCATTGTAACTAAATAGCAGAGCAGCAAAAGACACATAGCATCATCATCATCATCGTCGTCCTCGTCATGATCGTCGTCATCGTCATCCTTGCCATCGCCAGCGGAAGCGTCAGCCTGAGCAGCATCAGCCTCAGCAGCATCAGCCTCAGCAGCTTCATCATCAGCATCATCATCATCGTCGTCAGAATCAGCAGCATCAGCAGCAGCATCATCAGCATCATTATTGGTAATAGCAGCAGCAACGAAGAAAAGGGAGATGAAGCGGATTTTGCGCACAACGACTCATGAAAGGAGGCGGGCAAAGCGTCATACGCTGTGCATGTGCAAATAGTCAACGTGTCAGTGGTCATAGATGCATAAATCAAACACTCATATCGACTGGAGCATCAGCCGTCCAGCGTTGAAACCCTGTCACCGGATTTTCCGATTAATGCACAGATTTTCCTGAACACCTCCAATAGCTTTCGATTGGATCTTGAGGTTCATCGGATGTCCAAGCCCCTCGGCCCCTCCTGGTTCACCACCAGTTACACGAGAATCAGGCAAACGCCTCAAAGGCTCAAGCGAGCCGCTGGGTGTGTGTGTGTGTGTGTGTCTGGGGGGTGTGGGGGTGTGTGGGGGTGTCCCAACTTTGCATAAGATTTGCAGCGATTTCACAGCCAAGGCCAAAGCTTTAGGCTTGGCATTTCGCGTCGAGCATGGCTCAGACTTCCCCATGGCACTGACTCGATGCGACTGCAGTCGATCACATCTCTCCATTTCAGCGTGGATGGCCAGCTACCACTTGACATGACTATCCCCTGCCTGCTTCTCATTTTGTCTTCGCATCTGCAGCTAGTTCGTATGCTGTCTGCACGTCATCTGCCTACGCGTCTGTGGTTTATTGGATGGAACACAATCAATTTCTCTATATTCCATCCTGTGATTCAGCTGCAGTGGTACATAGCGGTACGCATGACCAATTCGATATGTACAAACGGAAGACCAAATGATTGGCAGCATAGCAGCATCAGCTGCATGTGCTCCGCCTCACCTGCAAGTTTGCTTCTGAGCAAATGGGAATGCGTCAACACAACGTGTGTCTTGCAAGTAGATGGTTCGCCGGTTGTTTCGATCGCGCTGCAATAAGAAAACGAACGAGAGGAAGCCGGACGCCTTCTTTTGGGTAGTTCATTCTTGGTGGGAATCGAACTGGAACCAAACCGGACAGCACTGCACAATTGGGAAAGGCCAAGGCACCAAACAAATGACACGTGTTCACTTGACGGCAACCCAGGCATTTTGCGCTCTTGCGTTCGTGCACGCCGCCTTCGCCAGGCACAAGCGACTCCATCAGCTTTGTCCGTTACCCTGAAAATGCGGAACCTGCAGCGGGGCTTGACATGCCTTCCGTCAGCACAACAAGAGAGTTGACCCCCCATGGATCATGTTTGACCACAGGCAACATGCAAACCCTGACATTTGGATGGACAATGCACATGCCGTTTGTCAACAGACCTACGTGCTCTGGCTTTAAGCAGGAACCGGGTGCGCCTGAAAATGTATGGAATCTCTCCGGCGCTGGCCTTTAGAAAGTCAGCAGACGCATCCCACTCAACAGGAGGGGCCTCGAATGCGACCGCCGGCTGGACCAAGATCGACTCGCATGTCAAGACTAGGAAACTACTAGGTTGCTCTTGTTTCCTTCTTACTTCCCTTGCGCTTCCCTGAGATGTGGTCATGCGCTTTTCACTTGTTCCACCTAGCTTCCATCCATCTTAGGAGTGCCTAGGCTACGGGGTGCCAGCTCAGATTCGCCGGGCGCCCTGCAGCCTGGGGTGCGTCATACTTGGCGAGGAGTTCCTGTACGATCCCGGGAACTGCGCACGGGAGCCCAGAAATGAAGAAATCGTCGACTCGAGTGCCAACATCAAAGGCTTCTGAACCCGAGATCCTCAGTGCAAAAGTTGACCGAGGATCGACCCACACCTCCACACGCAAAGCTCGCTGCTGCAGCATGTCCTGATCAAGGATGTCCAACACGAACCCAACGGTTCCCGTGGGCTTGCGAGAAAGAAACAACTGTCATGATCTCCACAAGGTGGATCACTGCTTGCATCGGGATAAGGTGACGCTTTCAATATCCACCTAGTTTGTGTATGTCAAAATAGCGCACCGCACCCACAAACGGCTGATCTTATTTTGCTCTCCCTTTAAACCAAGCCCAAAAAGGGTATCCTCAAAAGACATCAAACAACTCATTACTACCTGCTTGGGGAAACTCGTGCTCCTTGATCAGGGGCTGCCAAGCATCTGGCACCACGTGAAACCTGCGCACACAGAGACCACACAACCAAACATACAGCAATGAAAAGGCCAATACAACCCAAGACGACTAATTAACGACTGGAGAACACATAGTATTACTATAGCTATCATGTTCATAATTGTGCATCCTCTCTGTTCATCGTTCATCTTCATCTTCAACTTCACCCTGTTCCTTGAACTTCATCTTCATCCTTCACCAGCAGGTTTAGGGTGGGTCAAGGGTTGGTTGTATTGCTTCAGGGTGTGTTGAGCGTTTTCGTGGTCTTGGCTGGTTCGGGTTCGGGATTAGAACAGAGTTGATTCTGGGTTGGTTTCGAGCCTGTATGAATCGAATGCATGACCGTTGACGATTTGGTACGTTGAGGATTGCTTTTGGGGTCGGCTTAAGGTTTGTATCTTGCCGCTTTGAACTTGTTTCAGGGTTGGAGTGGGACGACTAGGGTGGCCTAGTAGGGATGATTCATGGCCTGAGCACGGACACACGTTGCTTTGAGGATGCATTTCTGGTTTGTACCATTGTTAGAGAGAACTGACAAGAAGACACAAAGTCAGAAAGGTAAAAAGGGCGAGAGCCAATCAAAGAACAGCTGACCAAATCCCAAGAAGAAAAAAAAAGAAGAAAAACAAATACAGACTTGCTAATAGCTGCTACACAGGATGTCGTCAGTCGCTCAAAGCTACTTGACATCGATGCCTGAGAATGCCAACGCCGTCTTCACTGGAGATGGCCAGCAGCAAGAATCCGAGGGCCTCGAATTTCCCAATGACGCAACGGGCCGTGTCGAAAGTAGGCACAGGACACCCCAGGAGATGTATTCGAGAAGCCGCCCTACCTCAGATCAGCACCGCCCAGTCACCAGTCACCAACTTGCTTTCCCTCTACCAGACAGAATCTCCCAGGCCCAAAAAGGTGGAAATCAACCAGAAAGCGCATGGCCAAGTCCAAGAAACTCCTATGTGATAGGTGTTTTTCTCCGGATTCCTCTGCACCCAGGTCCCCACTTCGTCACCGGCGTGAGGGCGCTTTTTGCACGTGATCTTAGGCTCCAGCCCCGGAACTGGACTTCGTGGCGCCTGCGTGCTTTTGCAAGCCCGCTGCGCGAGCTTTGCGCTCCGGCTTAGGCCAACATGGTGCAATCAGACGCAGACAGAAGGGGAGCATCGCAGCTTTCCAGGCGATTGCCAAAATACTGCCAAAATGCCAAATGGCAAATTTTGCAGTCGATTGCCAATGGCAAGTCCAGGCGAGTCCCACGCCTCCCCAGGAGACCTGAGCACACGCTACTCATCGACAAACGACCTTCTGCCTGGCTCAGAGGCTGGCAAGCGCATCCCGCACGGAGGCCCGCATGGGTTTGGGCAAGCGGTCCTGTGAGGAGGTATTCAAGTTCCCAACCCAAACTCCTAGGTTCGAGGAAAGTAGTAGATTGTCTGACAGCACAAAGGCTCGGCATCAAATGGCTGTGGGTCAAAACCAATGGTACCATTTTGGGGTAGGTGCACCACCCATTTTAGTCTATGTTAGTGGGGATTGGGATGTTCATTGGGGGGTTTTGACCCACAGCCAGATGTGAAACTTTATGACGCTTCCCAGTGTGCCTTGAGCTCTTCAAGTTTCGATCGCAGCAAGCGCCGCTCCCAGGATGGCCGCAACACACCAGTGGCGCTGGCCTTGCCCAGGGCCTGCGCACCGCAAATGGCAGGAATTCCGGAATTCCCCGCCTGGACCCGTAGGACATCACCGCGCCTTCCAAACCGCCGAGAGATTCTGAATGACTTGGTCTTTCTCCTGAAAGAAGGAACACTGGCAAGCCGGATGTAAGCCTTGTGCGCGAACAAAACCCACATGCGAGTTTACTCGCGTGCTACAAGCAGCCTGCTCGCACAGTTCTTGTCGAATGCCTGGCCTAAGCAGGTCACAACTTTCTTGAGACGCCGAGCAACTGTGACTACCTGTTATGTCGGAGCCTTGATGTCTCCAAGGTGGCTGTCCAGCTGCTGGCCACTGTTGCCTCAATGCGAGCTAGCTTTCCAAAAGTTTTGGATGGGCGAGTACCTTGCAAAACGTTCAAGAATGCTGGCCACGCGAGCTTGCTGTTTGCCCCGCATTGAAAATGCCGATCGGGCATCACCACTGAATTGGCCAACTTGTGTGTCCAGTCCACCTAGGCATAAATCCAGGCCATGAAATGGCCCTCCGACATCAGCCAGGACTGCGCGCACTTTCCGACGAGATCTTTGCATCGCAAAGTGCCTGACCGCTGCGTTTTGCGCCCAGAAAGAAAAGGTGTCAACCACAAACCGCCGCCAAGATGCAAGGTCCGGCGGGATTGGAGAGATAAAGGCTTCGCATGTTTTTGCAAGAGCCAAATGATATGCAAGAAACGAGAAGTCAACGACGTCGCTACCGTACCTAAGCTCAGATCTCAAGTAAGTACTTTGCATAATGCGATCATTCAGGAGGCAAGGTACGGATCACTGACATAGACGCACACGTCCAGAAGGGACTGGAAGGTCGCAGGGACGATGATGGTTTGGGCGATTTGAGCCACCACAAGCGCATAGTGGCCGAGGACCAACGCGGCCGCGCCCGTGTACCCACAGCCCAGGCCCATGATGAAGTGGCTGCATTGCACCATGACTGAGATCCTGCGAAGCATGATTTCAATAGGCCGCAGGCACCGAGCCTTTCAAACTGATTTCATGCCTTTGAATTGCTGGACATGTGCATGCCGAGCTGCATCTGCACGTATGGGTACCTCGACTAGCGCAAAAACAGCAGTTCGATTTGAAGAACGCAGGAAAGGACAACATCCAAAAGAAAACAAGTAAAGGCCTTTTAGGGCAGCTCTGCCGAACGTGAGTTGCACTGGCCAGGGCACGGCAGTTGCGTACTCAGCTGTGCGCGAATGGCTGACACTGCAGAGCGACCCACGCAGCACCTGAAGAAGCCAGCACTGCGTCTCTTGAAAACGTAACTATGCCAAGCAATAATGGATCAACTGGCGATCCTGCCGTGCGACTGTAGGCATCATGACTCTGGGGCTGGGCAAGGGTCTTCTTTCAACCGTTCGACCCCTCCAATCGCTGCCGGGGTTTCATTGAGAACCCTTGATTGTGACTCACTGGGGGCAAAAGGTAGGTTTTGTCAGCCAGCCTTCAGAACATCTTGCATGGGTGAAGCTGGTGATGAAGGAAATGGGCAAGTTGAACCCCCCAGTCACTATGAGAATCAAAGGTCCCATGGAAGCTGTCTGGAGCCTCTTCTGGACTTTGTAGCTCTTCGGGTTGTCGCGCAACAACGCCTTCGCGTAGGCGGCCATCCACAGCCACACCACCTGAGCCTTCCTGAGCTTGCGTCCAGTGGCGCTTCGGCTCAAGAAATTTGAGCTTTGGCCTTCCTTGCAGTCTACAAGGGGGGCATGCTACTTGACCTGTTTCTTTGGTTGCTATAACTGACACTTGGCGGGTGGACTGCGTGTTGGTGCAATACCGAGACCTATGGCTTGACAGGTCGTTTCATTGGTGATGATTGGACCTGATTGTATCGCCATGACAGCAGCGATGCGCGGTCACCCTGGTTTCTGGCACAGGCTCTGGGCCTTCCCCGCCAAGTAAGGGATCTCGTGCTGCTTCAGCAGCCCCATCCTCACCAATCCAGCATATGGTCCTGCAGTCAATGGCTGATCCGCATCTCTCCCTGAAAAAGACCTTCTTCTGAGGGGTACATTTTCAGCTGTACCTTCCAGAGATGTCCTTCTCTCAAGTCTACAAAACGGAACCATCTCCCCTAAAATCAGGTACTAGTATCCTGCTCCTGTGTAGGCTTCTTGTTGGCTTTCCGTGAATCTCTTCTTCATCCTAAAACGGGTTCCAATTGAGGACCCTCCCCATTTCAGTTTGGGCGGCCGGGAGCCACCCGTCTTTCCATCTCGATTGCATCCCACTCCTGTCGGGGAGGTATCCTGGTCGACGCCATCAAACGTGCCACGGCACTCATCCTAGGGCGATGCTTTCCCTCAACGGAACCGGCAGAAAGATCTGCGAGAACCTTGCTGAATGCTTCAATCACCTTTTAAACGCCTCGATTTCCTGGCTTCTTTGCAGCTTAGGTCTAGGTCCCAATCCCACGCTTTTGCCTAGCTTCGAAGAGAAGTGCCTGGGACAACAACCCCAGACGCGCCACACATCGGAGCTGTTCCTTGCAAGCCGCGGTAATCATGCCATCATCTTTCAATTCTTCACGCCCTTGCCTGGGGTACTCCAGAACTAGCTAGAAGAAGAATCACGTCCAGAACCTGACATGGCGCTTGCAATGTGCGCATGAACTGCCTCATGCTCTCCTGCCTGACCTGTGCAAATAAAGTCTGCAAATGGTGGGGGCGCCCACTTTTTGCTAACCAACCTCCATGCCGAGTTGCTGCACCGTGGAGCGTCCGCAAGAATTCCCTCAGGGCAAACAATGAACCACTAAGGCCGCTGCCTTTCGCAACAAATCTCACAAGCTTGATCCTCACAATCAAAGGCACCTCCGAAAAAATGGGTTAAAGGGAAACCACCAATTCCAGTTTCCACTGCCCCCATTATGTCACCATCAAAGTCACCTCCGAAATGGCGGGTTGGAGGGAAACTTTCTGACTTTGACAACCCCCCAAAAAACGTTGAAAAAAAACATGACCCCAGTATCAGCCTCCTCAGCCATGGGTGCTGCCTCACTGGACACTCGCTCCCTGCCTGTGGCTCCACCATCTGGATAGGTTCAGCTGGACGAAAAAGCCCATAATGAAAGTTACCTCGGAAAATTATCGGCGTGCAAGCCCAAACCCGGAACTCAACATCTGTGCAAACCGGGCTAAGCACATTTGTGCTGCTAAAAACCTTTTGCACGTCAAGGCTGCAATGAGGAGCACGCGCTGCTGCAGTGACTCCATAGCAGTGGTATCCATCTTTGATTCGTCATTGACCCAGGCAGCCAGCCTCGGCAACGCATCTTCTTGCAAGGGGAATGTTGGAAGGGTTCATCCCCGACAACACCGAGATTCGCCACATTCAGTATGTTGCTCTGTATTCCAGTGGTCCCAGCCTGCCTGCTAAGGCAAATGAGGGTCCCAGGTACATCCGGAATCTGGAAGCAAAGGAACATGTAACCTGACATCTCCGTTTCGTCGCAATCTCCTTTTGCACCCTTTAGGGTCCATTTCAACTTGTTGAAGAGGGAGTCTGGAAAAGAAAGCGGCCAAAAGACACATCCAGCACTTGCTCTTTTCCCTGGAGGGGGTCCTTAAGCATCCAGGCAATGCTCAGTGCCACAAATTTGGTGAACACCGCACCTTGCTGCGTCCGAGGTTCACTCCTGTCACCAGCGCCAAGGAGAGTGTCAAGCCCAGGCACGCGGTCAGCGACCAGGAGATCCGGCAAATGCCGCCACGGGTGAAGAGTCCAAGGAACCTCAAGTCACATCGAACGGAATTGGAGTATTGGCGGGCAAATGGGGACCAGCTGCCAGCATCAAGTTCTTGAGTTCGGTTCCGTATCTGGATTTCGCCATCCGCGCTGAACATGGCTGAAGTCCCCAATTTTGTGCAATCTGGCCAGCTCCGGCAATGCCTTGCTGACAGGGAGCCCACCCCACCGGCACACCGCATCGAAGTCGTAGTGCAGGATTTTGCACCGTTGATCGTTGCCTCGGCACGCTTAGCCACGCCACAGGTTTCAAGTACGTTTGTTCTGTCTTGCACATTCGGCAACCGTGCTGCGGGCAAGTGACGCCCTGTTGTCTGCGCATTATTGTGGACGAAGGTGCAGAACATTCCTCCAGTTGCATGATGTTCTGAAGGGTTCGAGATCCCCCGTTTCGCAAATGAACAAAAGCATGGCGGATCAATCAGGCAGGGGTCAACATAGGGGGTCTTGTTGTGGATAGTATCGCCAAATCCAAGCCTGAACCGAACAACTCATAACACCCGACCCTTGCACTCTTCCCGACCATATCCTGCCTTCGCTGTACCCAAGTGGCCCCAGCCAAATGTTTGCCTGCACAAGACATCGAAACTCGGAAACCAGGTAGGGCGGAAAGGAGGTGTTCCACGGTTTTGCTCAAAGGGCAAGAGGACCCAAAGCTCTCTCTCTCTCTGTCTACCACTGTCTTGGAAACACGCAGTTGGTAGCTGCACAATTGACCCTCCTGGCGAATGATGGCTGTTTGGTCCCCGCACGCCACTCCAATCTACGCCATCCTCCCCTTCACAGCGCCACGCCTCCGTCGCATCTTCCACAGGCCTGTCACAGCTGAGAACTGCGCCTCCAAACCACATCCATCCGAATCCAGTGCTCCGCACCTGTCTGATCTGTCGGACAGCAGCGACTCTCCAGCATAGCTGGCATATATCGCTTGTGGCAAGCTCCGCGCAGACCATGGCGGCATCTCTAAACTTCCGAATAATCAGTAACCGAAAATCCCGTGTCCTTCATGAAGCTTGAGTACTACATGGCTTCCGAGTTCCAGGTAAACATTCTGCAAGCTGGAACTTTCACGTTCCAAGCTCCTCACTGACTTGGCCACATCTAGGAGACCGTCGGGCCCCAAGTCCTCCACTTCGCACAAAACTCGGAGCACAAAGTGGCAAGTCAAGGACAAGATGCTTCTTTATCTCCAAGTCTTAAATGCCAAACGAGTCTTTTTGAGTTTGAATATGATTGAATAACTGCATCTCTGGAAAACAATAACGGGCCCAATCCGATGTCGCCACTTTGGCGTGCTGGCGCTTCCGAGTCCTGTGCCAGCTCGTGCGAGTCGAGCGCCTTCGTAGCTCACAGGCCGTGCAACCGCCACCGCGAAAGTGTTATGCAAAACCTGCGTTTGTTTTCTGTTTGTTTCTTTTCTTCGGGGGGGGGGACGGCCAGGATTCACTGGGGCTGTTAAATGCCTAAGCGCCCTCAAAGGTCGTCTGGCTCACATGGTGCGGTCAAAACTCCTTGTTTCGGTCCTTATGATCAATCGCTCGAGTTCAGCCCGTGTCAAAGGTTGATGACACCCTCAATTTTCGGCAACCCTAGACCAGGTTGACCTTGGCCTCAGGGTCAAAGGGACCTTTCGGGGCCAATGTTTACCACCAAGAAACGGCGTGCAACTTGCTCTAGCCATGCTGAGTCCAGTGCTGTCAAGGTGACCTCAGACCGGTGCCAGTCTCACGAGCAAACAAAAAAGCCATGTCATCAATGTCAATGTGGCTGTGGGTCAAAGCCAATGGTACCATTTTAGTCTATTTCAGTGGGGATTGGGATGTTCACTGGGGGTACGGGGGGCTTTGACCCATGGCCATGTGAGTGGCCGGCCAAAGCGCCACTGAGCCGAGGCAACAGGAAGCACGGCGCAGGCGATTCACTGGACTCGCCTTGGCCCAGGCTCTAAGGTTCATGGCTTGGCTCGAGTTGCTCCAGGCGATCTGTTTTTCTTGAGTGTGCAAAGGCCAAGCCTTGCCACAAGGACCAAAGCGCTCCTGATTGGGATCAAAGGGATGGCGCTTTTGCCAAAGTTAACCTGTGCAGACCGGCGACGCCTTGCTGGCCGAGGCGCTCCCCTTCGCTGCTTCACAAATTCTGGAGGCCTGAGAGATCCAGCGCCTTCACTCATCGGCTTAGTTGGGCAACCAAGGCAGCCGCCAGTTCCTGAGGCAGCCTGCGCATGACGCCAACTGCTCTCGACATGAGCATTACTCCTTGCCGATGCCTCGCTGACTCGTCAAGGACTCGGCATCCAGCACTCAGGTCATAGCCCAGTCGAGTGGACCACTGAATCGGTTCTGAGGCCAGTACGGCCCTGCACTGCTGGACCATGGGGGTCAGCCTGTGGCAGGGGCACATCTCAGCCCTCATGCCCAATGTCTCTGCATCGGGAAATCTTTGCTCCGGCGCATAGGCGCTGATGTCATGCGGTTCCTGGGCCCAGTGCTTCGGCATGTTCGCAGAGCACCGACAGCAAGAGCTGCTGCAGGATGGGACTGTCTAGACCTGGGCACCAGGAGTCTTCAGCATACTCCAGGCCTGCACTGGCCGAGAACTACGGCAATTACTCTATTCCTGGATAGTCATTCTTGCTGCCTTGTAATAATATGACACAAGCCTGATTCTATCATATATCATGAGATAATCAAGCAGTGACTGTGATCCCGTATGGAAAACCAAAGCTAAGACACAAACACACATTCACATTCACGATCGCATTCACATTCGCATCAGTGAACAAGTTGATAGCCGTATGGGCCGTATGTCTTTGTTCTACCTCCGGCTCCCGCCTTTGGCTTTGCAGTGATCCACAAAAGCGGCCAGCCACTGGAGCTCGACGGACTCCACCTGCGCACTCCACGGAGTGAGGCTGAGCGGCTGCGCTCCAACCGCCTTCTGCAGTTGACCTCGGGGCCACTCGGCGGCCTCTGGAAGAACTTGGCCGCAGAACCTGGCAAGATCTGGCAAGTCAAATGGCCATGGGTCAAATCCCCGTACCCCCAGTGAACATCCCAATCCCCACTCAAATAGACTAAAATGGGTGGTGCACCTACCCCAAAATGGTACCATTGGTTTTGAACCATGGCCGAATGAGGTTGTGACCCAGTGATCGGCTCAGGTTTTGACCCAGTGATTGGTTCGGCCTGTGGTTGAATTGACCCTGGATTTGGTGTCCCTCCACGAGAAGATCGGGCATCTTGAGGTTTTGATGTTGGTTTTCGGGCAGAGTCTGGCAAGTTTTTTTGCGCAGCGTGCCTGAGGGATCGCAGCACTCCTGCCTTGGTCTGCGAACCGGCGGGGTTGATTCATCAGCCACAACGGTGGCTGTCCACTTTGCTACTAACAGCTCACATGCGAACCAGTTTGGCATGTTTGGCTTCTGCATCCTGCGAACATGACTTAGAAAGACGGCGCTTCATCGCATATCTAAACCCCAAACCCTAAGTGCTTGTTCTGCAGTCCCTTTGCTCAAAAGTTGAAACCAATAATCCTTTCCGCCTGCCGCACTTGTATCGGTAGCCTTGCCCAGTCAAGTGCCCATGTCAAGCAAGAATGCCTCGATGCTCCAAGATGCCTCCAACCTACTTTCGTTTTCCGGTGACTTGTTTGCCCAACAGAAACATATTTTCCCCCCCAAAAAAGAACAGATAAAGCCAACAGGAAGTCCTGTCAGCAGATACGTTCAATGGTCGGTTGGTTCAATGAACTACCACAGGAAGACGGGAGACAGTACCCTTCTGGAGACCTCCGGCGGGCTCAGAGCCTGGCACAAGAAGCTGCGGCGCCCCATACCAAGAGCTTGTCTGCTGACCTGATACAAAAGCACGCGCGCTGCGCCTGCGGGGTCACCACCGAGTTGGAGACCCGAAGCTGCACCCCAAATGAGAGCACGGAATTATCATTTGCAAGCAAATTGCTTGACCACAAACTAGAATCTGACCATTGAGCGGGTAGTTTCTACTTCTTCCCGCGGGATGATAGGTTAAGGGTAGAAAGTCATAGAACGTACACCTCAGCTAAGGGAACGCAGTGCTCACGCATGTGCACGCTCTCGTGCCATTTTCCTCCACTGGTCATGGCTCATCTGCATCCAAGCGCATCCAAGCTCCATGATGGTCTAACTCGGCTGCAGCTTTCGTCTGTGCGAATCTGGTGCCAGGAGTATCTCATTGTGCGAACAAGAGGAATTTACAAACATATTTTACAAACATAGGTGTCCTTGTAGGGGAAATCGATAGCCCTGGTAGAGGATTAAACCAACAGGTAAACCAGGGCCATCTACTTTTCTAGCACAACAACCAAAAAGAACACCATAGCTTACAAATAGGCGCAACATCAGCGCTGGACCGTGCTGGACTGTTGAGTTGGAATTTGGCGTCGGAGCAATGCATCCGAGGTCAGGTGTGAAACGGCTGAAAACGGGGTCCTAACTAAGCCACGCTGGCTTCTTCGGCTCCCAGTCCGTTGGGATCCACCTGACGCATGGAACGAAGCAGTCACCCAAAACGGGGTACTTAGCGCCCCCCCCGCAACGCAGTTGGTTGCTATGTTTCGTGAGTCAGTGTAAAACGGCCGGTTCGACTTGGCGCTCCAGACTCACCATATCCCACGCCTCTTTCGATCCCCTACAAATGGAAGAAGCTTGTGCGTGCTGCCCCATGACCCCAGTACTCCTACCGCCAGCACAGACCCTCCACTCCATTCTAGTGCGGGAGTGGAACTCGCTTGGATCCCTGGATGTTCTGAAAGTCAAACAGCAAGCAGGCACAGGGCCCACAACTGCGTTTGAGATACAACTGCCAAAGTACGCACCCAGAAATTGCTGAGAAACAAACCTAAACCCAAGCAACGGACGAGCAAAAAGGAAGCAAGTCACCTGACAAAGTGGTTAGCTTCCCGTCCATGACTTGGAATTCAAACTCACGGTTTGCAGCTGGCAAACCAGGGTGCCTTTCGCTTTGGATCAGTTCCCATCAGTTCCCGAACTCTCAGTGAACCGGACGGAGTGTCCGAAACTGGTCTGAGGTGGTGGTTGGCCACAAAAACAAACGGGGGACTGTCGAGAACAAAAAAACAAAAACAACAACAAAAACGTATTGTGACAGCCTTTGGCCAATGCAAGCTCAGGAGCATAAATCTTGAATAGCACCCTTTGGCCCTCTGCCAGCTCCTCCACGCCTGCAGTCCAGCCGAGCGGACTCTGAACGGTGAGAGGGCGAGGTGAGACAAACAATGCCGCTTGTCAGAAAATATTGCAGCAGCTGTCCGGTGCCGTGGCCCTTGTGAAGTGCGGTGCTCAGGCACATACATGCTTGCCATGATCAAACCTCTTCGCGTTGGGCAATGGGCATGCTTGTGATTGATCTCCTCATCAGAGATCATGCTTATGTATAATATATCATGGTTGTCTAGCGATGACCCCCCACACGCCGCAAACCGGGCGGCCAAATGCGGCCAAATGCGCCTATCAAGTCCTTCATGGAGACCCAGACTTTGCCATCTGCACGAGAAGCACAAAGTTATGTCATCGCTCCGGCAGAAAACTCTCGGCGCGTTGCACAACATAGAATTCCTTGCAATCTGCCCAAATGACTCCCTCGGAGCAGTTCAGACTCTGCGGCACCTCGCCACTTAGCGGCATCATGCTCCACCGGGATGTCAGGCTTGATCCAGCCAAACTTGCCCTTCCTCGTATTCGCACTTTGGCGCTCTGGCTCAAAGCTAAGCGCAGTCTTCTGCAAGGCATAAGGCCCCAGCCACTCCACGCATTCGCCAGTGACAAAGTCCTCGCCAACTGGCTCCCGCAGGGCCTTGCCGCCACTTTTCATGAACTCCTTCATCATTGCCATCATCTTGGCCTGAGCGCAACACACGTTTGCCGCAAACACAAAAAATCAAACCCAAAAATCAAACACACAAACACACAAACGCAAACGCAAACGAACGCGCACACACACACACACCACACACACCACACACACCACACACACACACCACACACACACACCACACACACCACACACACACACACCAGACACACCAGACACACCACACACACCACACACACCACACACACCACACACAGCACACACAGCACACACCACACACACCCACACACCCACACGCACACGCACACCCACACACACACGCACAACCACACGCACACGCACACGCACACGCGCATGCGCGAACGCGCGCACACGCGCGCACGCGCGCACACACAGACAAATATACACACATACACACATACACGCATACACACATACACACATACACACATACACACATACACACACATACACACATACACACGCACACACGCACACGCGCACACACGCACACACGCACACGCACACACAAGCACACGCGCACACGCGCACACACGCACACACGCACACGCGCTCACGCGCACACACACAGACACATATACACACATACACACATACACACATACACACATACACACACATACACACATACACACATACACACATACACACATACACACATACACACATACACACACATACACACGCACAGACGCACATAAGCACATACGCACATACAAACATACACTCATACACACATACACACATAGACACACACACACAAACAGACAAACACACAAACACACACACACACACATACACATACACACAGACACACAGACACACATACACACATACACACAGACACACAGACACACATACATGCACAGACACAGACACATACACATACACATACACGTACACACACATACACATACACATACACATACACATACACACACAGACCAGCTGAGTCTTCAGTCTACATGCGCCAGTGTACGCAGAGCTCCATACTGCAGCCGAAGCTCCCAGTCAGCCTTTTTGCTGCTGCCCCATCCGCCGCCCCCACTGCCTTTGCTCTTGGGGTTGGACTTGTTGGCCTGCTGGCAGAGGAAGCAAGCAGCAAAGCGGCTGTAGTTCATGGAAGGAAACAAATTGAACACACAATCATACGCCCCAACCCGCACTAAAGGGAGGTCGACTGGAGCGCTGGGGGGGGGATTCATGAAGAGCCTTTTTTAGTATGTTCGAAACAAATAACTAGATGGGTCCAAATCGGAGGCGCCCTAGGTGTTTCATTTGTGAAATGCCGCACAAATGGCCAGTCTCTCCACGCAAATCCAAGTTATTCGCCAACCTTCCATCAATTTTCATCATCTAAGAATAACAGGAATCCGTGGAACCCAAAGATATGCCAGGACGTTCCAGGGAGACCCAATGAATTCCACATCCCTTGCACTTCCATGCATGTTTTGTGAACGTGTTTGCTATTGTTCGCATTTGTTTGCTTCTCTGAGCCAGTTGTCATATTTGCTGGTACTTTGCAGTCCCTTCCTTCCATCCTGGCCATTCAATAAACGAACAGGGTCAGCAACGATGCACAAGGAGTCAAAACAGGTTGTTTCTTGAATAGCTGCGCCCGACAGGCGGCTTTCATTCATTTGAGGGGTCCTGCGCAGGTGCATTTTCACCATTATCAATTGTGTCATATGTCCCCCAAGACCAAGGGTTCTCCGAGCAACTAAGGCTTGCCCGGGCGGGGGGGGGGGTGGGGGGGGATAATAGCAAACATGCGCGTGCAAACACACATGCTGTGCACACAGGTGAAGATGCTCGTCGGGTCCTGGCCTCAAGCACGCGTACACATACGCACACAAGCACGGTCATGCACGCTCAAACAAATAAGTTCGAATCGGCGTCAGCGCATGGTGTCCGTCACGCTCATGTTCACTGCAGCATGGCTCTTTTGCGCCTAGCGCGCCAGCCATCGCCGATATCGAACTCCGCGGAGTGGTTCTGTGCTTTCTGGAGAGCAGATTTGTTTCTTCCCGACTCTCATCAGGGCATCTTATACAACTTCAGTTGCACTCAGCGTGCAGATCCAGTGCTGAGCTTCACAAAGCCGCGCAGTCTGCGAGCGTGCCAACCTTGCCCGGAGTGAGTCACCTGCGATTCATTTTTACACCGTTGTCTCTGGTGCCAAAAAAAGGGCTGAACGCAGACTCGCTCAGCTTGCTGCGGGCCATGACAAAGAAGGGAGTGGCGCAGGAGAAGCGTCACGGCTTTTATTTGTGCGGCGGCGACAATGTTGCTGAAGAAACTGCCAGTGTCAGCAAAGGACAACTCAGAAGGCAGAATCTGTTGGGCAGAGGCACGATTCACGGTCATGATCATACAAATGTATTGGCAGCGCATAATTTGAACAAAGGTGCCGGCTTGGCCCGCGTCCTAAGGGCGCTCGCCATCCACAGGCGCAAGGCAGCCGAAGGGCTTCCGAAGCATTTTCCAAACCGCTATGGCTGCGCTGAAAAGGGCATTTTCGGGCTGACTATCACGGATTCCCGCGGGAACTCAACCTTGCAATCCCCTGTTTTTACCAATGAAAATCAAATACTGTTCAAAGTCACTGGCGTTTTCTATAGTTTTGAAGCATGTGCAGCCGCAGTTTCGGCTGGTGTGAGTAAAAAGTCGCTGGCAGGGACAATACTTTTGTGAGTTTTCTTCAAAGGATGCATGCTTGCAAACTTGGAATGTTCATGTGGGCGCGCACGGATTTTCAGAAAATCCGCGCGCGGCAAGATAGCGAAACCAAGAGCCCATTCATGCCAACCACAGTAGAGTTTCGAGTGGAAGAGGTTCCGAAGCAATCTGGCTTCGGAGAACCTCAGGTCTTGAGCGTCATATGTTTTGTTTTCATCATATGCTCACACCATTCCCATTAACTTGCAAAACTCCTTTTAAGCCCTGCGGTTCCATGCGTGTTTGTGCAATTGGTTGTCTATTGTTTGCACTGTTTGCTATTCTGAGCCATTTGTCCTCTTTCCTGGTAGCTTGCAATCACGATAACTTTATCAGGGGCCCTTCAGCGCTGTCAGGGGCAAGCTCGTTTCCGTTTGGTACATTTGACAATAAATTCTGGAGGATCGAGTCTCCGACAAGGACACTCCGCGACTTGCATTTCATCTTTGCTTGAGGGCATTTGGGCGGGGTCAGCGACAACCCCATGCCCGACAAGATTGATTCAAGCTTTGGACTCGGAATTAAACATGGCTTACATGGTATCAAATGGCAATGGTATATGATCCCCAGCCACCGGAGAAAGAACAAAACAAAACACGGCAAGGAGCGAAGCGAATGCAAGATGGTCCTCTGCCATCAACTCCTCGTCGGCCTTGATATCCTACGCGACACAGCGATCGCCTTGCGATCCCCGTGAGCCGCTTCTTGGACGGTGAGCCGATGGAGATGGTGCGGAAACTTTGGAAGTAGGTAACACCAAGCAAATATGGCAGGTCTAACAGCAGTCGGCCCTTGGTCCATTGCTTTTGCGCTTGCAAGGATCCAAGTTGGACAACCCAGTTCAACGCCAACCTCGTGTGACACTTGGCCAAAAGCTGCCAGGTGTGCAAGCTCTCCTGCAGCGCTTGCGCTGCAGCACTCCTTAGCGATCGGGGAAGGCACAAGAACAACTCCCACTGAGACAGTTTTTCACGGGTTAGAGATTACTTTGCAGGGTTCAAGCATTAGACGCCCACCACCATATCCTGAGATGGCAGTGTCTGAGAGGCAAGATTCCTTGCACTGCATTGCTTTTGTTGATTATGGCTTGGCAGATCCTCAAAATATGCACCAACCGCCGCCTGGAATCCTGCAACAACCTGTGGCGCAGGGTCGCTCAAGAGGCGAAGGGTGCAAGTTTGCGCCTTTGAGCCCGCGCCTTTCCGGTTTCAGGGTAGCTCAACTGCCCTTTCTTGCTACTCAATTCTTCCTCCATGATTTCATGTTTCTTATGGCGGCAAATGAATATGTGTAGCACTGAGTTTGCGAGGGCTCATTTCATGCTGTGTCCGAAACTCAACTGTTGCAATACCCCTTGGGCCAGGCTAGTTGCGTAACTTGTTCGCCTGACCCTTATGTCAGTGACATCGTGGTCTGGCATATTTGTTTGTTTTTTGCAATGTTCTGGCACTTCTCCTGCTCGAGCTGGAAAATACACGCAGTACACGAAGCACGCTTTGGCAGCTCCTGCTCGAAAGTCGTAACTGTTCGGTACGAGCGTGCTACACCAACCTCACTTTTGGCAGCTCCACGAAAATCGCAACTTTTCTGCACAAGTGTACGGAGAGTATTTGGCAGCTCTAGGGCAAGTGGTTGGATTCGCAAAAGGGCTATGCAGTTGGCTATCGGTTTGGCTATCAGCGCAGGGCCTGCAAATGTCTGATTTTGCAATCTTGGTTTGCGACAACTTGGGCCTGATGTGTCTTCATGGCCATTGAGAATCATGTGTCTGATGAATCAGTAAAGTGAGCCTATTGCTCAATTCAATGTCAATGATTTTCTATCGCAACTCGCGATCGCACTATGGCTACGATTTTTTTGAGGGTCTGTAACGCGCGACGCGCCACGAACCTTGTTATGGAGGTCTGCAACGGAGGTCCTTGTTACGCAGGCCTGTAACGGGAAAACATGTCTTGACAAGTACCAGTATCAGTAGCACAATGTAGCGCAGAACAACGAAGAGCAGCAGCTCCCGCTCGAGAGTCGCAACTCTTCAGTACAAGCGCACGCCTCCGCAGCCCCAGCTTAAAATTTGCAACTGCCGACGCAAGACCAAGCGATGGCAAAAAGGGGGGCCACTGGCCCGGCAAAGCAATGCGCGATCTGCAAAGCGACCTTCCGCAGCTCCAGCTTGATTGCAGCTATTCCACGCAAGCCACGCTGCGGCAAAAAGGGGGGTTGCTGGCCCGGGCTGGGGTTGGGTCTGTAACGGGGTATGTAGCGAGGGGCATGCAACCAGCCAAGCGGTTTGC